TGTCTTGGTGTTGACCTGTTTTTGTTGATTTTGAGGGGAGTTCTCTGTGCCTCTTGGACTTGAATACCTGTTTCCATCCCCAGATTAGGGAAGTTCTGAGCTATAATTTGTTTAAAAAAACCTTCTGCCCATGTTTCCTACTTTACCTCTCCTGGGATCCCTATGAAACAGATATTATTGTGCTTTATGGAATCGCTGAGTTCTCTAAGTTTATATATGTGATCTCATAGTTTTCCCTCCATCTTCTTTTCACCTTCATTACTTTTCAGAATTGAATCTTTTTTATTATTATTATTCTCAAATTAGTTAACATACAGTGTAGGTTTGGCTTTAGGAGTGGAACCCAGTGATTCACCTCTGACATATGACAGTGCTCATCCCGAAAACTGCCTTCCTTAATGCCTGTCACCCATTTAACCCACCTCCAGCCCAGCCCCGATCAACCCTCAGTTTGTTCTCTGTATATAAGAATTTCTTGTGGTTTGTCTCCCTCTCTTTTTTTATCTTATTTTTCCTTCCCTTCCCCTATGTTCATCTGTTAAGTTTCTCAAATTCCATGTATGAGTGAAATGATATGATATCTGTTTTTCTCTGACTGTCTTATTTCACTTATCACAATAACCTCCAGTTCCATCCATGTTGTGGCAAATGGCAAGATTTCATTCTTTTTCATTGCTGAGTAGTATTCCACTGTGTGTGTGTGTGTGTGTGTGTGTGTGTGTGTGTGTGTGTGTGTATCACATCTTCTTTATCCATTGATCAGTTGATGGACATTTGGACTCTTTCCATAATTTGACTGTTGTTGATAGCACTGCTATAAACACTGGGGTGCATGTGCCCCTTTGAATCAGGATATTTGTATCCGTTGGATAAATTCCTAGTAGTGCAATTGTTGGGTTGCTTAATTTTTTGAGGAATCTCCGTACTGTTTTCCAGAGTGACTGCACCAATTTGCATTCCCACCAACAGTGCAATAGGGTTACCCTTTCTCCACACCATCAATAACATCTGTTGTTGCCCGAGTTGTTAATTTTAGCCACCCTGACCAGTGTGAGGTGGTATGTGATTGTGGTTTTGGTTTTTATTTCCCTGATGATGAGTGGTGTTGAGCATTTTTTCATGTGTCTGTTAGCCATTGAATGTCTTCTTTGGAAAAGTGTCTGTTCATGTCTTTTTCCCATTTCTTCACTGGATTGTTTGTTTTTGTTTTTGTTTTTTTTCAACGTTTATTTATTTTTGGGACAGAGAGAGACAGAGCATGAACGGGGGAGGGGCAGAGAGAGAGAGAGACACAGAATCGGAAACAGGCTCCAGGCTCTGAGCCATCAGCCCAGAGCCTGACGCGGGGCTTGAATTCACGGACCGCGAGATCGTGACCTGGCTGAAGTCGGACGCTTAACCGACTGCGCCACCCAGGCGCCCCGATTGTTTGTTTTTTTGAATGTTGAGTTTGATAAGTTCCCTACGGATTTTGGATATTAACCCTTTATTTGATAATGTCATTTGCAAATATCTTCTCCCATTCCGTTGGTTGCCTTTTAGTTGTCCTGATTCTTTCCTTTGCTGTGCAGAACCTTTTTATCTTGATGAGGTCCCAGGAGTTTATTTTTGTTTTTGTTTCTCTTGCCTCTAGAAACATGTCAAGTAGGAAGATGCTGTGGCTGAGATCACAAAGGTTGTTGCCTGTTTTCTCCTCCAGGATTTTGATGGCTTCCTGTTTTACATCTAGGTCTTTCATCCATTTTGAGTTTATTTTTATGCATGGTGTAAGAAAGTGGTCTAGGTTCTGTATGTTGCTGTCCAGTTTTCCCACCCCATTTGCTAAAGAGACTGTCTTTTTTCCATTGGATATTCTTTCCTGCTTTGTCAAAGATTAGTTGGCCATATGTTTGTGGGTCCATGTCTGGGTTCTCTATTCTGTTGCACTGATCGATGTGTCTGTTCTTGTGCCAGTACCATATGGTCTTGATGATTACAGCTCTGTAATACAGCTTGAAGTCCAGCATTGTGATACCTCCAGCTTTGGTTTTCTTTTCAGGGTTTCTTTGGCTATTTGGGGTCTTTTCTGGTTCCATATAAATTTTAGAATTGTTTGTTCTAGCTCTGTGAAGAATTCTGGTGTTATTTTGATAGGGATTGCATTGAGTATGTAGATTGCTTTGGGTAGTATCAACATTTTAACTATTTATTCTTCTAATCCATGAGCATGGAATATTTTTCCATTTTTTTATGCTTTCAATTTCTTTCATAAGCTTTCTGTAGTTTTCAGTGCATAGATTTATCACCTCTTTGCTTAGGGTATTCCTAGGTATTTTATGGGTTTTGGTGCAATTGTAAATGGGATCGATGCCTTGATTTCTCTTTCTGCTTCATTATTGGTGTATATAAATGCAACTGATTTCCATACATTGATTTTATATCCTGCAACTTTCCTGAATCCATGGATTAGCTCTAGCAATTTTTTGGTGGAGTCTTTTGGGTTTTCCACCTACACTATCATGCTGTCTGCAAAGAGTGAAAGTTTGACTTCTTCCTTGCTGATTTGGATGACGAATATTTCATTGTGTTATCTTATGGCTGAGGCCAGGACTTCCAACACTATATTGAATAACAGTGGTGAGAGTGGACAGCCTTGTCGTGTTTCTGACTTATGAGGAAAGCTCTCAGTCTTTCCCTACTGAGGATGACATTAGTAGTGGTTCTCTCATATATGGCTTTTATGATCTTGAGGGTTGATCCTTCTCTCCATACTTTTTTGAGGGTTTTTTTTTTTATCAAGAAAGAATACTGTATTTTGTCAAATACATTTTCAACATCTATTGAGAGGATCAAATGGTTCTTGTCCTTTTTTTTTTATTAATGTGATGTATCACATTGATTGATTTGTACATATTGAACCAGCCCTGTATCCCAGGAATAAATCCCACTTGATTGTGGTGAATAATTCTTTTAATGTATTGTTGGATCCGGTTTGCTAGTATCTTGTTGAGAACTTTTGTATCCATGTTCATTAGGGAATTTGGTCTGTAGTTCCTTTTAGTGAGGTCTTTGGTTTTAGAGTCAAGAAAATTCTGGACTTGTAGAATGAGTTTGGGTGTGTTCCTTCCATTTATGTTTTTGGAACAGCTTCAAAAGAATAGATGTTAACTCCGCTTTAAATGTTTGGTAGCATTCCCTTGGAAAGCCATCCAGCCCTGAACTCTTGTTTGTTGAGGGATTTTTGATTACTGATTCAATTTCTGTATTGGTGATGGGTCTGTTCAAATTCCTGTTTCATTTTGGTAATTTATATATGTTTAGAAATTTGTCCATTTTTTTCAGATTGCCCAATTTGTTAGCATATGATTGCTCATAATGTTCTCTTATTATTGTTTGTATTTATGCAGTATTGGTTGTGATCTCTTCTCTTTCATTCATGATTTTATCTATTTGGTCCTTTCCTTTTTCTTTTTAATCAATCTGGCTAGGTATTTATCAGTTTTGTTATTCTTTCAAAGAACCAACTTCTGGTCTAATTGATCTGTTCTACTGCTTTTTTGTTTGTTTGTTTTTAATTTCAATATCATTTATTTCTGCTCTAATCTTTATTATTTCCCTTCTGATAGTTTTAGGCCTTATTTGCTGTTCTTTTTCCAGTTCTGTTAGGTGTAAGGTTAGGTTGTGTATTTGAGAACTTTAGTCCTTCTTTAGGATGGGCTGGGTTGCTATATACTTCCCTCTTAAGACCGCCTTTGCTGCATCCCAGAGGTTTGGGGCTGTCATGTTTTCATTTTCTTGGCTTCCGTGTACTTTTAATTTCCTCTTTAATTTCTTGGTTAGCCCATTCATTCTTTAGTAGGATGTTCTTTCATCTCCAAGGATTCATGGTCTTTACAAATTTTTTCTTGTGGTTGATTTCGAGTTTCGTAGTGTTGTGGTCTGAAAATATGCCAGGTATGATCTCAGTCTTTTTGTACTTGTTGAGAGCTGATTTGTGACCCAGTATGTGATCTATTCTGGAGGATGTTCCATGTGCACTCGAGAAGAATGTGTATTCTTCTGCTTTAGGATGAAAATTTCTGAATGTATCTGTTAAGTCCATCTGGTCCAGTGTGTCATTCAAAGCCATTGTTTCCTTGTTGATTTTCTGCTTAAATGATCTGTCCATTGTTGTAAGTGGGGTATTGAAGTCCCCTACTCTTATGGTATTATTATCAATGAGTTTGTTTATGCTTGTGATTAACTGATTTATATATTTGGCTTCTCCACTTTGGGGGCATAAATATTTATAATTGTTAAATATTCTTGTTGGATAGACCCCTTAATTTTTATATAATGCCCTTCTTAATCTCTTGTTACAGTCTTTATTTTAAAATCTAGTTTGTCTGATATAAGTATGGCTATACCAGCTTTCTTTTGACAACCATTAGCATGATAGATGGTTCTACATCCCCTTACTTTCAATCTGCATGTGTCTTTAGGTCTAAAATAAGTCTCTTGTAAGCAGCATATAGATGGGTCTTATTTTCTTATCCATTCTGATACCCTATGTCTTTTGATGGGAGCATTTAGTCCATTGACATCTAGAGTGAGTACTAAAAGATAAGATTTTAGCGCCATTGTGTTGCCTTTTGAATTGGTATTTCTGGTGATGTTCTCTGGCCCTTCCTAGTCTTTATTGATTTTGGTCTTTTTTGTTTTGTTTTGTCTTTCTCCACTCAAATAGTCCCCCTTAAAATTTCTTGCAGGGCTGGTTTAGTGGTCACAAACACCTTTAGTTTTTGTTTGTCTTGGAAACTCTTTATCTCTCCTATTTTGAATGTCAGCCTTGCTGGATAAAGAATTCTTGGTTGCATATTTTTCTGATTCAGACTGTTGAATATATTCTGCCACTCCTTCTGGCCTGCCAAGTTTCTGTGGATAGGTCTCCACTGAACCTGACCTTTCTTCCCTTATAGGTTAAGGACTTTTTCCTTTTCCCCCTGCTGCTTTTGTAACTCTTTCCTTGTCTGTGTATTTTGTGAATTTGACTATGATATGCCTTGGTGATGGTCAGCTTTTGTTGAATCTATTGGGAGTTCCCTGTGCTCCTTGGATTTTTATGTCTGTGTCATTCCCCAGATTAGGAAAGTTTTCTTATATTTCATATATATATATATATATATATATATATATATATATATATATATATACTTCTTATAATTTGTGCACACAAAACTTCTGCCCTTTTTTCTCTCTCTTCATCTTCTTGGACGCCTATGACTCAGCTATTATTCCTTTTTAACAAATCACCTGGTTTTCTAAGTCATGTATCATGATCATTTGCCTTTGTTTCCCTCTTTTTTCCTGCTTCATTATTTTCCATAATTTTGTTTTCTAAATAGTGGATTCACTGCTCTGCTTCATTCATACTTGGTGTCTTGGCATCCATTTGAGATTGCATCTTGGTTATAGCACTTTTAATTTCATCCTGACTAGATTTTATTTTTTTATCTCCAAAGAAAAGGATTCTATGCTTTTTTCAACTCAATCTAGTATTCTTACCATGGTTCATATTTCTAGTTCAGATATTTTGCTTATTTCTATGTTGATTAAGCTCCTGGCTGTCCTTTCTTCCTTTTCTTTCTTTTGGAGTGAATTCCTTCATTTTCTCATTTTGGAGGGAGAAAAAACTAATAAAGTAAAAAATTAAAATTAAAAAATCAAAAACAAGGCAAAAAATCAAATAAAAGAAGCTAGAGTCTAGGTGTGTTTTGGTCTCATTGTTGAAAGAAGTTTGATAGAATAGAGAAAAAAGGGAAAGAAGAAAAAAAATGTAAGAAAAAAATAAAAAATTATAAAATAAAATGAAATAAAGAAAATGAAAAAGAATAACAAATTTAAAAAATAAAAAATAAAGTAAAAACATAAAAATAAAAGTAAAATTTTCTCTTTCTGTATCCAGGATGAGGAAGAAAAGAAAGGGGGGGAGGGAAGAAAAAAAATTTAAGCAAACACAGAAACAAAGAAAACAAACAAATAAATGAGCCAGTGAACAGAATGAAAATTGAATGAAGCTACGTCCAGTTTCCCCTAGAACTGAAACTATGAAGCCTTCTATAGTCCATAAACTATGCAGGTGGAGTAACTTGTGCTGGTTTTCTAGCGGATATGTTTGGAGGGCATGGCTGAGTGGGGCTTGCTGTAATGGCTCCATTCTCTGCTGGGTGGTGCTGCTTAGCTTACTGGGGTGGATCACTGTGGTGCACATGCATGAGTGTGTACGCATGTGTGCAGGAGAGGTGGAATGGCTTCATCCAGCTTCCTACTGTCTAGCACAGGAACACTGTGCTCTCAGCAACCCATGATCAAGCACCCCTCCATTGTCTCAGCTCTCTGTTCTCTCCCCACCTCTACCCTGCCTATGTCCAAGCTTTCCACCTGCCAGGCAGCACCTCCATCCAGAGTTTTATCTGAGATAGGGTTGTGTTTCAAACCCCACACTTCAGAGACCCCTGTGGCTTGGACCCATGCTGACTGTCTGGCGGAGGGTCTTGCTGAGCAATGGCTGGGTGCCAGCTTGCCCCAGAAAATGTTCTTGCGATCGCACAGTGGCAGAGGTTCAGAGGTTATGGCAAATCACAACACACAGCTGGCTCCAGATTTCACTGCACTCTGGCATTTTCCTCCCAATACCAGCAAATGTGGCTGCTCTCCTGGGTCTGCTGGGACCTTTGCCTGTGGGGATGCTGTATGGCCTCTATGAAATGCACTCCAAGCAGGAGAACCTCTTCGCCCTGAGGGGCACATGGATCCCTCAGACTGGTCTGCTTGCTCATGGGGATTTGCCCTGCTTCCTCACCAGAGGACCACCAGACACTGAGCTCTGAATGTTCAGGCCCTGTGCTCCACTGTTTATAGAATCCTGGTGGTATTGAAACCCTCTCCTGTCTTCCCCTCAATGGTTTTGGGGGAACAGATTTGTTGTTCAGTCCCCTGAGAGTGTTTTCACTCTTTATCTTTCTCTCCAGCTACTTTCGGAGGAGTGCTTTTCTTGCACGATCCCATTAAGCTGCATTCTCCCCCATTTCCCTTTCTCTATCCTCTCTGCAAAATAGCTCCCCACCCTCCATAGCTTTTCTTTCCCCCAGCTCACCTCTCCGTACCGTGTACCTGCTGAGTTCTGTGGCTCAAGTTATGCAGATGGTTGCGTTAACTCTTAGATCAGTTTCCTAGATGTTCAAAATGATTTGGTGCTGATCTGGCTGCATTTCAGGGATGAGATAAGCTCAGAGTCTCCAACTAGAGACCACATTTATAATGATCAAACTCAATATTTGGTTAACCTAAGGGTGAACGTGGTGGCATCATCCCATTGCTCTATTAAGTATTTCCCCCTTTTACTGGTGAGGATGAGTATTGGTTTTGTTTCTAATATGCTTACTGGTCCTTCATATTTTTATCAACTATTTTCTGGCTGCCTCCCAGAATTAACACTTAGGTATGAATTAGGAGATGTGACCTTCCACTCAGACTGAGAACTAATAAGAACTAGAGATTGCTGTCCAGCTTCCTTCTCTCTCCTCTTACACCGCCCAAGTTACATGAACACTTCTCACACATCATCCCATCTTCCAAAATAGACGTTTGCTTGTTTATGCATCTTGTTTTTAGTGCCCACTCACTGAATCAACTCCTTGAAATTTAAACACCCATCATAGCTCTTATCTGATACCAAGAGCTTGGTCTTCAAGGGGGCATAGGTTGGACACAACAGGGTCCACATGCAGGTCCATAGCCTTATTGACTACAATTCACTGGGCCTTAGATGTGTGAAATAGAAAATGTCCTTGATAGTCAGTTGAAGGGTTCCAGGCACAAAGGTGATTCCTGAAAATGCCAAATAAAAAGGCTTTAGTCATTCCTTTAAAGATGACATTTCCTCAAGCATCCTGGCAGGCACATGAGGTCTCTTTGAATACTAGCCTTCTAGGCTGTAACTTCTCCATTGGGCCAGCAACCGAATGGTAGCTTTGGTAGAAATGGTAGGGGCAAGACACTGAGCCCACTGAGCATTGTTGCCATTATCTTTTCCCCTCAAACAGTCAATAATTTATATGGGTAGTTGTCAGGTTACTTGCCATTTGAAATATAGCCTGATTTTGAAACTGTGTGATGCAAGGGGGTTGTGGAAACTTCCTCTGTATTGTTCCCTCTTGCATGAAAATAGCTGCTGCTGTGGATTCCTGGATTTGCATTGGACACAAATTCCCTCCTCTTTTTTCTGGCTGTTGTGTAATGTTTCTTCCATCCAATTTAACACATATTTGGGGCCTATTATGTGACTGGTACATGCGGGATACATCTGTCTGCCCCAAGTTGTTCTATGATTGGGTCAAGCAGAAGTTTCCCTTGACTTCACAGGCTTGGAGAACTAGAATACTTCTGGGAGTAACTGATGGTGACAATGTCTCTCTTGTACTAATGCTTACATACCCTATTACAGACCTATTGGCTTTGGAAAAAGATCTGGTGTGCTGGTATTGGCCTTGGTCACATCTTCCACCTTTGTCTTTTGCTTCTCACATTGAAATATCTTATTTCTATTTTTTAACGTTTATTTTTGAGAGAGACAGGGACAGAATGTGAGTGGGTTAGAGGCAGAGAGAGACGGAGACACAGAATCCAAAGCAGGCACCAGGCTCTGAGCTGTCAGCACAGAGCCCAACGCGGGGCTCAAACCCACGAGCTGTGAGATCATGACCTGAGCCGAAGTTGGACACTCAACAGCCTGAACCACCCAGACGCACCTCACATTGAAATATAAGCACAATTAAAAAAAAAATCAATGTTCAAAATTGATGGTTCCCATAACACAAGAAGCAGCGAGTGTTGGTGACGATGTGGAGAACCTCTTGCCCTGTTGGTGGGAGTGCAAACTGCTACAGCCATTCTCGAAAACAGTATGGAGGTTTCTCAAAAAGTTGAAATAAGACCACTTGGGTGTCTCATTCAGTTAAACATTCAACTCTTGATTTCACGTCAGGTCTTGATCTCATGTTTATGAGATCAAGCCCTGCATTGGGTTCCATGCTGACAGCACAGATCCTGCTTGAGATTCTCTCTCCCTCCCTCTCTCTCTGCCCCTCCCCCACTAACATGCATGCTCTCTCTCTCAAAATTAATAGTTTTAAAACGTTAAAAATAGAACTACTCTATCATTCAGCAATTGCAGTGCTAGGTATTTATCCAAAGAATACAAAAATACCAATTCAGAGGGATACATGCACCCCGATGTTTATAGCAGCATTGCCTACAGCAGCCAAATTATGGAAGGATCCCAAATGTCCACTGAATGATGAATGGATAAAGAAGATGTGGTATCTATATATGTATATTATGGAATATTACTCAGACATCAAAAAGAGTGCAATCTTGCCATTTGCAATGATGTGGATGGAACTAGAGTTTATTATGCTAAGTGAAATAAGTCAGTCAAATAAAGACAAATATCATGTGATTTCACCATATGTGAATTTAAGAAACAAAACAGGTGAACATAGGGAAAGGGTAGGAAAAATAAAATAAGGTAAAAACAGCAAGGGAGGCAAACCTGAGAGGACCTTAACTAACAGAACAAACTGAGGGTTTTTGGAGGGGAGGTGGTTGGGGGGATGGGCTTAATGGGTGATGGACATCACTTGTGATGACAATTGAATATTATAAGTAAGTGATGAATCACTAACTTTTACTCCTAAAACCAATGCTACACTATATGTTAATTAAGTTGAATTTAAATAAAATCTTGGAGGAAAAAAGAAACATTGACAAAGATGTGTAGAAATCAGAACCTTCAAACACTGCTGTTGGGGATGTAAAATGGTACAGCTACTTTGGAAAACATCCTGGAAATTTCTCAATAAGTTAAAAATGGAGTTGCCATATGGCACAGCAATTTCACTCCTAGACACATACCCAAGAGAATTGAAAACATATATTCCCATGAAAACTTGTATAGAAATGTTCATAGTAGCATTATTCATAACTCCTACAATGTGGAAACAATCCAAATGTTTATCACAATTACCAGATGCATCAAAGTGGTATAACCATACAGTGGGATATTGTCTAGCCATACAAAGGCATGCAGTACTGTTACATGTGTGGATGAACTTCAAGAACATCGTGCTAAGTGAAAGAAGCCAAAGTCCACATATTGTATGATTCCATGTATATGAAATCTTCAGAACAGGAAAATCCAAGAGACATAAGTAGATTTTTGGTTGCCAAGGAATGGAGGAGGGGGGAATTGAGATATGGGCTTTCTTCTCAGGATAATAATAATATTTTAGAATTAGT